TGTCATTTTTTCCATAAGAACCCCCTATTTTTAAAGGATTTATAACTTATCTGTAAAATTGTCTCCAGGCACAAGTTTGGCATCCAAGCTCCCAACCCAGGCACTGATTAAAAACAAAATAAAATAAAGAAACTACAATTGCTTCATTTACTGGAGCAGGGTGCAGGGAGAGGGGGAAATTTTCCATGCCTGGTCTGCCTGCAATAAATTCAGACAGCACCGTCCATGCACAAATGCTTAGTGCTCCAGGAAATGCTCTGTTGGGTGCAAAGAGAGGGATATGTTCCTTGACAATCCTCCTCTCTGGGACCCAGAAAATTTTTGTGGCTTCTTGCCAGGACTCACTTACCCAATCCCACAATACTTTGCAGTCCTAGAGCGTGCCCTCTGTAAAAATACTGAGTTACAGCCCATGGCTGGAGAGTCCATCTTTAATCTCTATAGGATATGGTGTTTTGGCACTCTTCAAAGGAGTAGACTCTGGGTAATACTTCCTTGCTGTGGAAACATCTTGCTTAGGTTTTGCTTAAAAATTCCTTTATGGTGCTATGCCCATGCAGGAACATGGTGGGAGGGGGTACAATTTAGGGAGCTGGATTAAAGTGGTGCTAAGGAAGAAATCTGAAGTCTTCGCTTTTCATCCTTAATTCACACCGTTGGACCCTTACACTGCTCAACATAGTGGGTGTGTCTACATGTGCATTTACTGCACAGTAACTTACTGCACAGTAAGTGTTTTTTATGCCGGTGCCTACATGTACAGTCATTACAGCGCAGTAATGTTGTGGGTGGACTGATTTGGGATTAAAGTTAGTCCCAACTCAGTCCACACACACAGGGTTACTGCACAGTAGGGCATTTACACGTGCCTTACTGCGCAGTAACTACTCAGGCGTAAATTTGCTATCTGTGTCATGCAGGTAGCAAATTTACACCAAAGTCAGTGCAAGTCGCCATAGTTACTGCACAGTAGGAGTGCGCACATGTAGGCACGCACCCATACTGCACAGTAATTTTCGGTTACTGTGCAGTAACTGTGCACGTGTAGACACCCCAGTATGAAACAAAAGGAAACTTTGTCAACTCTGGGACCAAACTTTCCCTTCACTGGCACAGTGATGGGGCTAGAGAGAGTCTGGTGTGCCCTGGCAGGTCCAAGACACCGTGCTGCTAGATGTATTTGTCAATGTATAACCTGCTGAATGTACCTCCCTCAGTTAGAAGTAGGGGCTGTGGGCTGAACCTGCCATATTGAGTACTCCTGTATGGATGAAGAGTAACCCACCTAAGCATGTGCTTCACTTTAAGCATGTACTTAAATTCCACTGGGGATAGTGGTGGACTCGGAGCAACAGAGAAACGTTGCCCAATTACACGCACTTGGGTGGAAGAGAAAAGGAGCAGTGTTAACTCCCCATACCCCACGTATACTGGCTAAGAGCAGAGAAGTCATTCCCTTTATTTGGAAAACCTTAGGCAGATGACGGATACAAGTGGAGCTGGTCAGTTATTTGTTACAAAACATAGCCCCCTTTTGATTAGCGAATCATCTGTGACTCGATCCTGATTTTCTCCAGACATGCTCATAAGCTTGCCCTAGCAAAAGATTTGCAGCCTGTGGGTTGCTGGAGAGCTATTTGGTATTCGTGCTGTGTAGCTGGTCACTGAATTCCCATGTTGTTGTTCCAGCTCCCCAGTTGGATGACAAACTTTCTAATCAGGAGAACAACACAGAGCAATGATTAATGTACTCAGGAATTATGTTTTTACCGGCATAGGATTTATGCTACAATTTGTTAACCTCTCAGGATCTGTGAACACTTCTGCACATGCCTGGCAGTGGTCCAGCTACTTGCATACAAGAACTATTATGATGTCTGTAAGCCATCAAAAGCTTATACACGCATGTGTGTGTGTGTGTGTGTGTGTGTGTGTGTGTGTGTGTGTACACACATTTATACGTGTATATATGCACACATTGATACGTATACATACATCTCTCGCTCTCTCTTCCTCCTGATAGTCAGTGATTGCACTAGAAAGGCATGCATTAGACTTTGCAAACATTTCCAAACAATAATGCCCTGTAATTAGAAGTTTGAAGAAATGGGGATGGCATTCTGACCTCACTGTATTGAATGGCAAAACTTGCATTGAATTGAGAAGAACCAGGATTTCACCCCGGTGCTTTAATTGGAACTAGCACAGTGCATGGAAAGACAGAGGGCAGGGTACAGAGAGTTCAAAGTGTCAAGTGAAACAGAGCAGAGAGCTGAGAAGAACAAAGGAAGCTCATGTCACTATAATTTCTCAATGATCTGGGTCTGATATCTTCTGTGCTTGGCATTAATTGATTCAGTCACAAAGAGCATCTCGATGGTGGGTCACTTGGCTGTATTGATCTGTAAATGATGGGACAATCTGCAGCTAAGGAGAGCAAAAAAGGCACCAGGAATGATCTCGCTGGTTCACCTGCTCACTTTTGGGGAAGTTAGCCTCCAGCTCACCATCCTACCCTCCCGGCAACAGAGTTTCAGGAATGCCCACCCCATCCTTTACATTTTTGCATCTCTCCCCGTTTCCCCAGACAAGTGCCATGGGAAACCTCCAAGGCAGAGGCATCCAGACTAGCTTAAGAATGAACAAGATCTGATTCTTTTCTTCCAGGGGAGGAGGGTCCTAAAGAGAGAGAGAGAGAGAGAGAAAAAAAGCTTGGGGTCCTTTGTCCCCGTCTCCTGGATACCAGAAAACTCCCACGCTTGTCAAAACCCAGGGCAGCTCCAGCATGTCACGCTTAAGCAAAGTCTATGTGGAATGCATGTTTTGAAAGCAGGAGGATGCGTTGCTGCATTTAAGAGACAATGATGTACTCCACGGCGGATGGAAGCACGGTGACAGTTTCTGTCTGCTATCCCGTGGGAGATATCGCCCGGCCACTAAAGATGCACCAGACCCAATATAAGACTAAACATGCACCAAGATGAAATATACCCCTCCATCCTCGGGCATGAAGAGCACAAGGTAGCTGCTTACTTTGTGATCTGCACAGCGCACCTTACGTCGACATCTCTTGATTATTCTATCCCTAGAATAAATGATAGAGACTCCCTCCGCTCCAGGCTGCTAATTTTTAGATCAAAGGGTTACACTGTAAAACTAACAGCTTCCCGGGTTTTATTTTCTCCCCTCCCGTTAGGTGAGGGATTTTGTTCTAAATATGTCCCTCCATGGAAAATAAAGCACTGCCACAGCAAACATCATCAAAATGCGCAGTTGGCACTAACTTGCTGTAGAACTTAAATCCAAAGCTGTTCCTTTCCTCCCAGAGGTCTGCAGACAATGCTGCCAGTTGCAGCAAATTCAGAGGAGGAGGAGGGAAAATGCTTAATTAAATGAAGAATGGGCATTTCCTTTTTAAGGCTAAGGAAACCCTGGGGCCTATTAGCCAGGACAAGAAGGGGAACCTCCAGAAACAGGCCAGGCGAAGGGACAATCGGAAAACAACCAGAGCTTTGTTAATCACAGCTCACTCCACGCTGACAGGCGGGCAGATGGCACAGAAAGCTGTGACCTGCGAGGGGGCATCAAAGAGCTGATCTCTCATTGAACCGGCTACCCAGAGAGGTGGCGGGGTCTCCATCCTTGCAGGTTTTGAAGACCCGGCTAGACAAAGCCTGGGCTAGGATGATCTAGTTGGTCCTGCTTGGAGCAGGGGGTTGGACTAGATGTGACCTCCCGAGGTCCCTTCCACCCTCATCGTCTGTGATTCTGTGACTGTCTGACCTCTCCCGGTGCCTGCCCATCTTCACCAGGAGGGGCAAAACCCTCGGGTTTCAGTTTTTGCCAGGGCAGGCAACACAGTCCATCCAAGGGGAATGCACCCATGTGAGAGGGACCCTGGGCTGCAGCTTCAGGGGCTGCCACTGTCCAACCTGGCTTTGTTTCCTCCTCTCTGAACTTGCACCGGGTTAGGAGAACTTGCAGTGTCTCAACACCGGGTCCTTTTGTCCCCTTCCCTTGCCCCTTACCAATGCCAGACTTCTTTTAAAAGACCCCCCCCATTATAACTCGCTCAATACAATCATGTAAACCCCCGCACATTATAACAACTTGCTCAATACAATCAGGCAACATCCCCCTCATTATAACTCACTCAAAAAATCATGTAAACCCCCCATTATAACTCACTCAATACAATCAGGCAACCCCCACCCCCCCATTATAACTTGTTCAAGAATTCATGCAAGCCCTCCAGTATAACTCGCTCAATACAATTGTGTAAAGCCCCCATTATAACTCCCTTAATACAATCAGGCAACCCCCCCCCCCCCCAAATTATAACTCATTCAAAAAAATCATGCAAAACCTCCCATTATAACTCGTTCAAAAAAATCCTGTAAACCCCCATTATAAGTCGCTCAATACAGCTATGTAAACCCTCCATTATAACTCATTCAAAAAAATCCTGTAAACCCCCATTATAAGTCGCTCAATACAGCTATGTAAACCCTCCATTATAACTCATTCAAAAAAATCCTGTAAACCCCGCATTATAAGTCGCTCAATACAACCATGTAAACCCCGCATTATAAGTCGCTCAATACAAATCAGGCAACCCCCCCCACCATTATAACTCGTTCAAAAAAAATCATGCAAGCCCTCCATTATAAGTCGTCAATCCAATCGTGGAAACCCCCCAGTATAAGTCGCTCAATACAATCATGCAAAAACCCCGGCAAAAAAAGAAGGGGGCAGGGGAGGGGGGGCTTGCAGGGCAGGCTAGGAGGACCCCGAGGCTGAAAGTTCATATACAAGAGAAAGAAAAGCAGCAATTCTCCCAAGCTGGAGCCCAGGAGATTTAAAGCCCCCCTCTCCGCAGCCTGTCCGGGGCTCGTGGTCTCCCGGGCAGGGGCAGCAGGAGGGACCCACATTGCCGCGCGTTGGGATGAGCCGGAAAGTTTGCCGGTGCGGGACTGCGGCGCCGGCGGCTGCTCACTCACCAGCTGCAAAGTGCAGAGGAAAATCAAGGTGCAGCACCTGGTGCAGCATCCCATCGTCGCCGAGCCCGCGGGGCGCCTCCCGCCGCAGCCC